CTTTTCTTGGGCTCTAAGAACCAAGAATAATCAGAAATGGTCTGCAAATGGATGATGTCAGTGAAGAACATGAGTGTATAAACATCTTAAGAACCGTTCATTCATTCACTTACAAATATCTACTGAGAGCTTTTTATATGCCAGACACTGTATTAGAATATTCTATTTGAGAAAAATTTAGAGATTATCCTGAAATATAGCATCTTAAAATGTGCTCACATGCTTCAGTTTTAGAGTTTTCTATGCAGCCGTGACTCCTTTCCTAATTCATTATATCTGTTTCCTTTGCTCCCCCTCACAGATACTTCATGCTTATTATGTCTTGGAGGTGCTATTTCAAACCAAGAAATTCCTAAAGCAAAGGCCAAATTTCACTCATGTAAAAACTTCTTCTTCCAAAGGCCTAACAATCTGTGGTAAGTTTAAGAGCAGGGTTCTGAAATTAATATTTGGAGCCTCTTGGTCTTACATCATTTGCCTAACTTGAATACTGTGTAAATTGGACTGTGTTAAGGGAAAATGTTAATATAGAATTATCTATCATGATAATACTGTTCCCCATCTTGTCTTTGTTTTGCATACCAGCTGGCAGGAATTAATTATGTGAGAAATTAAAGAACTCATAGCTTTTTTTAAAGGCAGATAGAATTTTAATATGGAAACCCACCCATGGGTGCAATAAGCATTCGTTGCCCTCTGACTAGCTCTCATTATCTTTGCTCCCTGTTACTTTTACTAGGTGATCCTCTGCATGCCACTTATGCTGCTATGAGAAAGACCCAAGGCAGAGTGGAGATTAAATTCTTTTCTGCCCTTGGCTGCTGTTTTAGATTTTTCCAACTGGTCTCTGCAGCTTTTAGAAGAGTGGGAATGTCCCCGAAATCTGTTTCTTGTTCTTTTAAATAACAGGATTTGAGATTTTGTTATCATATAGGCCAGCCTGGCAGGATATTGCTTCAAGAAACAGTACACATTGAAATTCATCACAGTTGGTGCTCAGCATGCTTGCAACTGTCTGGAGTGGGGTGCGTGGAAGGAACAGCAATTCCCTTAACTTCTAATTAAGCCTTTAGGTTACAAAACAGTGATTGTTATTTTCCAAATCAATTTTTAGCTTGTGTTTTTCTTACTTTGGCAGGTAGAAGTGAATTTGACAATCTAATTAAACCATTTCTGTTTCTAGCATCTGATAGTGGTGACAGGGTATAGGGGCTTGATGTAGCAGTATATACCTGATGACACGCTCTGACTCAGGATTTTGAAGTCTCTAATGGTTCAATTCCAACCTAATCAAGCCACTACATCTCTGACTGGCAGATGATACATCTCAGCATGGGGGCCTTTTATTAAAGGCCTTATCAGGCCTTACTTCTCATGGAAATATATGACTTTGAGTCATAAGACTCAAGAAGCCATTCCTCCAAGGTCTGCGAAGCCAGGATTTTGCTTGCTGTCAGAGTATACATAACAGTGAAAACAGTGTGGCATCTGCTCTCATGTGCTTCTACTATATCTCCAGTTGTCATTTCTAACTTGTCTTTGCCTAAAAAGATCTGGAAAAGACATGAATTAGTTAGAGGGCATGGAAATTCTATAATCCCAGTATGAGAACTGAAGTGTTCTTACAGAGACTATCTAGTCTGTCCCCCTGCCATTTATTTATTTATTATGGTGCTGGGGATTGAATCCAAGGACTTATGCATGGTAATCAAGCAGTCTACCACTTAAATATACCCCCAACCCTATTCATGCCTCTTTTGGGTGAAATTGAGGCCCAGAGAGAAAAGTGTATTGCCTTCCACATTCTTCTGTGTAGTAACTCCCTGCTACGAGCTCAATTAGCAAGGTAGTGGCAGGATCAGAGTTAGAAATCAGGTTCTCTATATATCCCTGATTAGAGGGAGATCCACGTATGTTCTCATCATGTACCTAATGTTTCATTCTATATCATGAGACAAAAAGTAGGGAATGGGTGGATTGGACAGTTCCATCCATTTAAGAATCCCCACACCATAAGCATATATTTCCAGAATATTTCCACATAGCATCATTGGTGAATGGAAAAGCCAAGACCAGCAGGTTCCTGTATTCATCAGCTTTCCTATCTCTGGTACAAAATACCTGACACTCTCAACTTAAAGGAGGAGAGGTTTATATTGGCTCATGGTTTCAAAGGGGTCAGTCCATGGTCAGCTGGCTTCAAGGCAGAAGTGGTATGTTGGAAGGGAATCTAAAAGATAGCTTCTCACCCCTGTGGCAGCCAAGAAGCAGAGAGGGAGAGAGG